GAGAGATTGCAATGGTAATAATAATCTTAATTGTTTGTGGGCGAACAACTGGTGAGAATGTCTCCTTGAAGTCAATACCAGGACATTGTGTGAACCCTTTGGCAACAAGACGTGCCTTGTAGCGAGCAATGGAACCATCACTATTTCTATTGATAGGAAATAACCATATGCATCCAACAATATTTTGCCCTGCCTTAGGTGGTACAAGAGAGAATGTGCCATTTCTTATTAATGCTTCAAACTCATCGGCAATTGCCTGACGCCAATGGGCGTGTTTTATTGCCTCACGAAAGTTTGAAGGTTCCAAATTCTCAGGTAGAGGATGTTTTGTTGCAGTGTACATTCTTTTTGGCTTGAATATATTATTCTTGGACCTTATGATAATTTGGTTTGTTTCAGTAGTAAGGGCTGCAAAGGTATTAGACGTGACAATAGTTATAGTAACAAGATTAGGTGTATGAGTATCATTACCTGACATTGTATTTGAAGTCAAAAGATCCTCCTCTTCATGGGGCATAGCTTGTGACTCGGTTGGTGATTGTTGAAGGATAGGTATGATGGTATGGGGTGGGGGGGTTGTGGCATGTTGGGTATGGTTAGAGATGGTGGTGGTGTAGGTTTGACAAGTTGGTTGTATGGAAAAATGTGGTCATAAAATTTGACATGCCGAGAGGTGTATATTTTGTGATTTGTTGGGTCAAGACATATATAACTGTATTGGGATTCTGTATATCCTAGGAATATGCATGGTTGAGACCGGGATTGAAGTTTATTTGAGATATAAGGTCGCAACCAAGGAAAACAAAGGCATCCAAAGGAATGAAGATGTGAAGTTGTTAGGTTTTTCTTGTGTAAGACTTGATATGGTGATTTCATGTTAAGGATAGGGGTTGGTAACCTATTGATTAGATACACTGCTGTCTTGAATGCAAAGGACCAGTATTCAGGTGGTAAGTTTGACATATGTAATAAGGCTCTTCCAGTTTCAACTACATGTCTGTGTCTCCTCTCAGCTGGAGCATTTAGTTCTGGTGTATGTGGTGGTGTGGTGAGATGAGGTATACCATGTGTGTGGAGAAATGATTTTAGTTTGATGAATTCTCCTCCATTATCATAGTGCAATGAAATAATTTTTTCTTTGAAGTAGTTTTCAACAAGATTTTTGAATGTAGGAAACAAAGTAGAGACATCTAATTTATTTCTTAATGGATAGAGCCATACATATTTGGTGAAGTGATCAACAAAAAGTAAGTAATATGAGAAACCATCTAAAGACTTGACGTGGGCTGGACCCCATACATCAGTATATATGATTTCTAATGGTTTTTGTGTTTTGATACTGGAAATGGAAAAAGGTAACTTGTGACTCTTAACACTATTGCATGATAGACAAGGTTGTTGTTGGCTCTTTATTTTGTGATATGGTAGGAGATGTCTAAGTATGCGATCAGATGGATGCCCTAATATGTGATGCCATGGCGGAGGAATGTATGTAGTTGTGACGAATGCCCGTGGTAGAGATGATGGATGGGGCATGTGGTAGAGTCCATTGCTATGCTGTCCTTTTAGAAGAGGTTCCCTTGTCTTCAAATCGTTTATCAAGAAATGATCAGAAAAAAATTCAATGGAAATTGGATTAGTGTGACATAGAGATGAAACAGACAATAATTTTTGAGTAATTTTAGGCACATGTAAAGCATTTGAGAGATGAAATGATTGAGAGGGAGTTTTTAAAATAATTTTACCAATGTTGGAGATGGTGTGTCTAGATCCATCACCAACCAGAAGCTGATCTGAACCCGTGTAAGGTTGAGAAAAGTGCATGTTGTCCAACTCATTTGTTATATGATGGGAAGCTCCCGAGTCTAAGATCCAATCAGATGCACCTGAGAGCATGGCCCTAGTATGAAGAGCAGTATGAGGTTGATTCTTTGGAGGGTAGCCATGCAATTGGTAGCAGACCTTGGTTGTACGGCCTGGTTTGTCACAAAATTGACATACTACACGCTTTGAGAAGCCCGACGATATTGATCTGGGCATTGTGTGATTATGATATTGTTTTGGTGTTTTGGTGTAGAATTGTTTTCCCTTGTGTGTAGTATTTGCAGTAGCAATGAGAGGAGTTTCTTGCACACTTGCATCCCTCTTTAAATAATTTTCAAAATCAGAAAGGAGGTCATGAAGATCATCAAATCCGATAGAATTTTCTCTGGTTCTTAGAGAAGCAGTCACTTCTCGATAGTCAGAGTCAAGGCCATTCAAAGTGTGGATGACAAGATCCACATCGTCCACTAGGGAATTGATGATGGCTAATTCATCAGATAAATCCTTGATACCATTGAGGTATTCAAAGATGGATTGTGATCCTTTTGTGAATCGAGAGAGTCTCTCTTTTAGGTGCATAACTCTTGCACGAGTTTTGCTTGCAAACATCTTAGTGAGAATGTCTCAAGCTTGTTTAGAGGTCTTGACATTCCTCAACATGGTAATGATGCTTGGATCAACAGATGATATGATTGTATGCAGGATCAATTGATCCTATCTTTTCCAATGTTTGTATGTTGGATCTGTTTGGGCTGGACTGGCAGTGGTGCCATCAACATAGCCAATGAGATCATACCCTACAAGGAGTGCGTTGAACTGCACGTGTCAAGCAGAAAAATTGTTGCTTCTCAATTTCACTGACGAGTGAGTGTTTAGGACAATAACATAGTTGGCATTTGGGGTAATTGAAATTTCAGATGTTGTTGAGGAAGGCATGGTGAGATTGAGGATCGTTTTACTGTAAAACTTAGTGAACTACTGATACCATATAAATGAATGAATTTATCAAATTATATTTTTCTAAGATATACAATTGAGTATATATATACATATATTACATAGTAAGAATTGAATAAAAAATGCTTGAATTAAGTCTAAACTTTTGTTCTCTGGCTGTTACTGCTTGACAGAGTTATATGCTTCTAAATGCTAAAAATAATCAAATAACTCTCCTTTAATATTTGATGACCAATTCAAATATTTTTTAATTGCTTCATTATTCAAATTGATTTTGTTTGTCCATTAATTACAATGTCTTTAGCTCCGAAAGACGAACAATACTCTTATTATTTCTATTGCTAAATTATTTACTATCACTTATCAAATGTTTTGGTCTTTCTTGTGACTATGTGATCATTGGCCAAGCTACAATGCAGGCTATGCAGGATGCTCTTGAAAACTCAAAAGATTATATACTTAAGTGGTATCTTATATTTGCCAATAAACTGTACCCTGATACAGTTCTCTTGCAACAATCACCTCTGGTTCTTCCAAAAGCTTTAAAGGTTCTATGCTTAAACTCTTTTATAAGGACATTTGATTGTTGGTAAAATAGAGAAGTTAATGTGAAGTTTTCTCAAACGAACTGTGTTGTTAGATTAGGAAGTTTCAATTATTTTCATTTTTCCGATCTAATGTTTCTGATCTCGTGTTCGCTTTTGGTATTAAGTTCCTAGTCATTTGTTTTATGTTTAGTATCAAGTTGGTTTTTCCTCCTCCGTTGAATGTTGTGTCTCCCGTGATTCATGTTTGAATTGAAATTTCTATTTGTCACCAACATGAAAGAAGCTTCAATCAATTATAAAGTTCTGGTTCTTTTAATTGATTCCCCATCTTAACATTGTTTACAGAAGGGCGTTGTTGTTGTTGTGCACCTTTATGTCTTCCCTGCAGTACCCTCACTTTTTTGCGGTACATACCATTTTAACTTCGATGTAGAGAGAAAGAAACAAATGAACTATTTAGTAAGTGTTTTGAGGTTTTAATATGGACTCGACTTTGTATTGATTTGTTCTTTTCAGCTATAATATCTCTGCCCATACGGTTGCAATGTCATTTTTCAGAATCAATGCGTAGAAATGCTAAATTCAAGCACAGGCTTGTGTTCTTAGTTGATGGAATTCGTTAAAGTGAAAGGATTAATTGGAAAGGGTTTGGATGGGCAATTTATTTTTGAATCTGAAACTAAATTTCATGGACTCAAGCGGCATTGACTTCACTTAGTTGCATTTACCGTGTGATTTATGATGTAACTATACAGCTGGTTCGTCTGTGTCTGCCTTCATACGGGATATCCGTTCTGGTCCTCTCATTTTTGTTCAATATTGACATTATTATATGGTAAAATATATATTTATAAGTTATTTTTTGATTTTAAGTAAAATGAAAAAATGATTCATTTATAGTAATTTATTAATATATTCTAAAATTTTTTTGATGATAATGTTCCTATATTTTTAAGATTTGATTCCAGGTGCTGCTTGAAAATATATATTGTCAGGATCATGTTTCAACTCAAGACGAGGTGCATGATCTTTGTTACAAGATAATACCTGAGATAATATAAACTTATTATAAGAGTTTGTTGCATCCATAACTTTATTATCTTGGCAGGATGTTGTGTAAAGGCTGTATGCCATCAAACTTGGTACATGTGCTAACAGCAGGTCATGTTCAACATGTTTTTGTTAATGGATAACTTTCAGGTCAGTATCATTTGAGGAGTGTTTTCTTTCTATGCCATTGGCAAATTGTGTGGTAAATATATTTATATACAAGTGGCAAAAGAAATAAAATGATTCATTTATTTTTCAATTGAGTATATTGATTCTCTGCCTTCGAGACTCTCCAATCTTCATTCACTTACTAACTGCATTGGTAGGGAGAGAGAAAAAAAAAGTAGGTTTTGGCATTGAACAACAGTGTTGTGTAAGTCAAAATTAAGAGGTTTAACAAAAATCGGGAGAGTATTAGAAGTGGTCTACGCTGATAGAGTAAGAATTATGATTAACTAGAAGTAATATTTATATTATTATTATTTAATTTGTAATGTTTTTTAGAATGTTCTTAGGACCTTAAAATATTATTGAGGCAAGCTTTAGAAAATAAAGAAATTTACCTTGAAGGAGGGAATGAAAGCAGGGGGTCTCCCTGCTCATACCTCTTCATCTGGTAGCTCAGAGTACAATACAATGCAGTACAATGCTGATATGTAAAAGTTCAGAAAGGAGGTGTTTAATAACATCTAGGATTATGGCACCAGCAGCTTCTCCAGCGGCAAAGCACCAAAGCCAAATCCATAATAATGTTAGATCAGCTATCATGTGAGTGCAACTAACTCCAATTGCAATTCCACCTTCCTTGAAGCTATTTGTCTGCAACATAACATGCAACAACATCATCACGAATATCAGATGTTTCTATACAACTATCAACTGATCTGATGAGTTATAACTATAAGAATGAAGGTGATGTGTTATGTGATGAAATTAAATGTGTTACCTGAATTCGGAAAGGAGACCATGTACTTGTATCAAGAGGCATATCATCCCAAGCGATAAGCTGCACTTCATCGGAGCCACCCTTAGACGATGATAGCCATTCTTCAATAGTACTATCCACATTAGCCTTTATGACCCGAACACCGGCATCGTTACACCTAACCTCCCAATCACCACCGTCTTCCGTCTCCCGGCCCAACCGACCTGTTACTGTCGGGTATAAAGACAAAACCTCAGACAATGATTCCCTCAATGGATCCAATCCAAATGACTCAAACCACTTTTCTTCATTCTTGTAGTAAAATATCAAATGCAGTGTATGATAACCCATGCCATGGTCCACTCCCAGCAACTTATGGCTCATACCCGATTTCACAGGTCTACTTGAAACAACGGTTAGTTTTGAATCAAGTGTTACCTTACAATCTGACATCCTTGGCTCTTATTCTTTGTCTAGCTCAAAGACAAGAATATGGTTATAATGTTGGGAGAGAGAAAAAAAGGAACAATCTCAAAATAAGTTTCTGTGTTTCTTAAATGAACAAGTGCATAGCTTTATTATTTACTTATACTCTATTTAATTTTTGCAGATTTTATGTTTTAAAGCAAGATTATTAGTGATTTATTTTTATTTACAGCCGATATAAAAAATTTACATTCTTTAAAACATTACCCAAGATTATTAGTGTCTTCCATAACAATGATGTAGCTGCCCATTTATTAGCACCGAGAGAAATAGGATTGCTTATGCTTGAAAATTCCATGTAGCCTGAACTCACTGTGTACGCGCCATCCGAATTCTTGTGCCAGTTGTGCCAAGGCTGAACCCTAAGCTGCAACTTGATCAGGCCTCAGATTCCAACACCAACGATCACCTGTAAAAACTCCCATATCCTCCAGAGGCATTGGGATTAGCAGCTAGGCAATATAATTCTGGATATGCCAACGGGATACCGCCTATCCAATTACTTTTCCAGAAATCTTATTATATTACATGCTCCTAACCTGCACGAAATACCGCCTAAGAACCAATCATCAGCAAAACCTTTAGAAATCTGAGGAACAATATCTCTCCACCACAAAGATGATTTTTGGGTTACAGTGAAAAAATTTCCAGTGAACACACAAAACATCCAGCTAACCATATCTATATTCAAGTACTGGCCTTCATAACTCTTCTCTATCTTCAAGGAACATCCACCTCTATTTGCACAACATGGACTCATTGAAAGCCTCTATGCATCTGATTCATAAACCTCCTTCCTCCTTACTTCTACAAACCTCAGGCGAACTCACCCATGAAATGCCCCGTTTGTCAATCCCACCACTCCACAAGAATTCTCTTTAGATTTTGTTTAGTTCCTTCAACAACACCTTAGAGATTTTGAAGAAAGATAGAAAGTATATTCGGATTGAGTTCAGTACCGAGTTGATTAGTACCAAGTTAAACATAGTTAATAATTAAAATTAACAGTTTTTTTAATCTGAGCCATTAGCAGCTTGAGTGGCTCCAGCCTCCCTTTAATGTGTTCGAGGATGTGTTCTTGTTGTGTCTTTTGGCTTCGTTGCTATTACAGGTGTTCTTGGATTGGGGAGTTCTACCTTTGTCTAGATGTTGGGTTTTTTGTCTTCTTTTTTCTTTTGATTTTTCACCCCCTTAGTTGGTACTCCTTGTTCTGCACTATGGCCGATTGCACACATATATATATATCGTTAATAATAATATAAGATTTTATCGTTAATAATAATATAAAATACTTAACATATTAAAGAATTTAAAACAGACTATTTGATATATCTTCACACTTTTATATAAATTTTTAAATTTAAGTGAGCTAAAATGAAATGCTTTACATATTTTTAAAACTTCAACGAAATAGTTTGATATATCTACAAGTGACCACAAGTTTACAAGACAACCACATGAACACTAAGCTTTTATGTGGTATTAAGCTTTTATGTGGTATCAATTAAATTCGAGGCCTAATTATTGAATCTAAAGCCTAAATATTAAGTGTATATTGTATACAAAATAGGAGTCTGCAAGCACTAGCTTTATTAACTTTGGGATTGAGTCGGCCCTACTTACAAGTTATTTTTATAGAGATGAGTTAGATCAAACTTTAATTATAATAGAGAGACTGTAACATTTGATATTGTATATCATATGATGATTAATTGTTTACTTTTTTTTCTTCTAATGAGGATCCCTTGAATTATATTTTATATTGACATGCCGTAAGTATATTGTCATATCCTAAATTTTGTCCTAACAATTTTCAATGGTCTTATTATTTGAATATTAGCATTTCTATATTTCTAATTTATAAAAATTGCTTATTTTTTAGAGGGATTTAAATTCATAAGAAGGGGTGTATTATTTCAAAATGGACCATCGAAATCTGATGACTCATTGAGCTTTTGGGTTCATTTAAAAATTCATTTTAAATTATGAGAGGGGGGTGCATTACTCTAAATGGACCATCAAGATATGATGCTCCATTAGGGTTTTGAGATCTATTTTAAGAAATATGGGTGTATTTTTATTTCATTTCGCAGACTGGGCCAATAGGTCTTTACGGCCCTTTAAAATTGTTAAAAGTCTTATGGTTTGACCTCATAATAGAAGGGAGGTGTGTTCTGAAATATACACAGAGGGGGTGCGTTTAGAAGCCCAATAGCTGAGCAAGTGATAGGCCCGTTTCAATTTTTCATTTTTTCGTTTTAATTTTCACTTATTCATTACAACTGTTATTTAATTATTATTATTATTATTATTATAAACATTATTTATATTTATTTTTGGTTGTTGTTATTAACATTAATATTATAAAAATTATTTTATATTATTATTATTTTGTTTATCGTTGACTAAGTCAACTAAGAACCAAGGGCTTGGAAAACCCTAGATTCTACACTCATTTGCAGCGCATTCTTCTTCAACCCAAGTCCAGAATCCAAATAACAAGCAATGTTCAAAGCAAACCAGATCTAGAAACGCGTACGAATCAATGGCAAAATCAAATCTTCCATATATTATAATTGTCTGGTTTTACAAATCAAATCAAGAACAAATCGTAATTTACAAATGGAATCAAATCGAATCAAAACATTACAAAATTGTATCTCACAGATTGAGTGTTATACAAAAAAATCATCCAATATTACAACAAAATCATGTCAAAATCTAATCAGATCTAAACCTAATCCCTAATTTCTAACACAATCATCTAAAAAATAACGACAATCTTACAATTTTTCTTAAAATAAATCTAACTCTAAACCTATAAAAACCGAGAGGGGGAAATTCGCAAACAGAAGAAGCAGAAAAGAGGTATGGGTTTCAATTTCTGAAACCCTAGATCTGTGGTGTCGTCGCCGTCGCCTTCAAGTCCTGACCATTATGCACTACATCACTGCCATCCCTTATACCTGCGAACATAAATAAAGAAGAAGAAATTAGGAGGAAGAACCAGAAGCAGAACGAAAAGAGTAACTACAAATTTAAGTAAGCCTAAGAATTCATAGTTGTAGGGTGATTATTGATGTTTGATGCCTGATTATGTTCTGGGTTTGGGGGAATTTGGGGACTTAGGGTTCTTTTGGGTTTAGCTTAGATTAGGGTTAGGGATTTTGGGTTAGGGTTTTGAAGTAAACAGTTAGGGTTGCTTGATCCACTTAGGGTTTGGAGATATGGTTAGGTTTGACTTATGATTCATCTCAGAATCCTAGGGTTCTTGGGGTTCATAGGGTTTTGATGAATTTAGGTTAGGGTTATTGGGGTTGGATGAAATTGTTAGGGTTCGTGAGAACCCAGATGAAGATCTATGGTGGCTTGGATGAAGATTTAAAGATTCCGGTTGAACTTCAACCAGAAATCTGAGATAAGTGGTGGTCCTATGGTGGCTAAGGGTAGAGCCGCCGACGGAAGCATTTTTTGTCTGGCGGGGCGATTTTCGATCGCCTAGAGAGAAGTGAGAGTTTCTCTTTCTAAAAATTGGATTTTGTTTGGGAGATGGGATGTAGAGAGAGAAAGTTGAGAAGAAAATGGGCCTCAAGCCCAGAGGTCTATTTTTATAAACCCACTTCACGTTTCAGTGTAAAACCTTAATCGTGCACTTTTAATCACACACCTCTAATTCTAATCAAACGCCCTTAAAACCGCACATCCACTGTAACCTAAGTGCTCGCCCGCACAGGATCCAAACAAATCTCCTTGTTCCATTTTGGGGCCAAACCCAATTATTAAACACACCACCCTATGTTTTTATTTTTTACTGTCCTGACTGTATTCGCACCCCCCTGCAATTAGGTCAAATCCAATATCTAGATTTGGGCCTTGATATTCACACCTACTGGTTTTTGCTACTCAACACAAAATGCACCCCTGGCTGTTTGGGCTCAGATTTTCTTTTGGACCTAAATATTTTTCCAGTACACCCCCGATTCTGATATCTACACCCACCGCACTTAATTTAATTAACTTTATTTTTTATTTAATTATTTGATTTTATTTCCTTTATTTAACTTAATTATCATGTTTTTGGCATTTTACATGAAAAAATATTCTCCATGCATTAAAAAAATTATTAATAATATTTAATATATTTTTGATAATTAAAATGGTTATTTATTAATAAAAATTCTTTTTTTAAATACTAATATTTTCTTAATTGCATTAAATATTTTTCTCATGCATTAAAACTTATTTTTCTCATATTGCATCATATACTCGAAAACATTTAACCAACCAAAAATTAACTTTTTTTTTACTAACATAATTAAAACTTATATATTTTCAAAAAGGATTATGGAAACTTCTTTCATCAACTGCGAACGCTGTCTATAATTTCTCTATTCACAAACTCAAACTTGGTTCAAGGAGAATTCGAGATATATTCATATTCCATAAAAAAACTAACCAAACAAATGCGAATTACGAATTGAGACTCTGATTCCTCATAGAGGATATGTAGGCATACGACTTAAAATCCTGGTGAGTTCCCCTAATTAAAACTAAAACCTTATTCCTAAACCATAAACCTAAACCTTGATATCTTTGTGAACAAAGTAGATGAAGGATTTCTAACACATTCCTTCATCTAAAGCGAGTCAACAACTTAGAATCTCTGATCCAAATTAGGGTTATCCATTATATTCCCCTCTTTATGATAAAAATTAAAGGTGACGACTCTATAATTTTTGCCGGTTATTACAACTGGTGACTCTGCTGGAGAATCAATCATAGAGTTTAGAAGTCTTTTCTTTTAGTTTAGGATTTTTAGATTTTTTTTTATTCTTCTACATTTGCTTTATTTATTTATTTATTTATTTATTTATCAATTTTTATTTATTATTATTATTATCTTTTTATCATTTATTGGTGGGATTTTATTTCAAAAAAATATATCAAAACCCAATCCTTTGGTTTTTCAGTAATGGTGTTGTTGTTATTATAAATATCAGAAAACCAGTTATCGTGTTTTCTCTTCCCGAAGCTTTGTTGGCGGTTGATTCGCATGGCGCCTTCGAAGCTCTTCGCTCTTTCTGTTGCCCTAATTTTCGTCATCGGTATTTCCGAAGTCGACGTTTCCATCTATGATTCCGATTCATCTTCTCTCAAGATCCATTTAGATCAACTCAATACCAAGATCCAATTTTTCGGTATGATTTTTTAATTTACGCGGAATTTAATATTTCAATTATTTTCGTTTTAGATTTTAATCGAGTTTCAATTTTAGTAGATAGTTTTAGAGTTTATTTGATTAAACTCAATTTAAGATTGAATTTGTTGTATATTATCAATCGTTTACGTTTTCAATTAGTTGCAGTTATTGATGAGGCTTTTGTGTTTGAAAAAAAGATTGAGATTTATTTTTTCATTTTATATTCCTTTTCTAGGTGGCTTATTGGAAGCGCGCGTGAAAGTTCATGTTAGTGCTAAGTATTTCGCTCAAATTTTGTCTTATTTATTTCAAATTTGGTAATCTTACATGTAAATCATGTATTATTATCTTCATAATTCTTCATTTCAAATTTCAGGAATATTGAACATTCACAAATATTTTATTAGAGATTTAGTCACTGTTTTTTTATTTACATACTTGCAGGCTGGAGCTCGATTGCACGGGGAAAGCACAACAGGATAGTTTTGGATGTTGGCTGCGGAGACGAAAGTTTTGACGGTTTGCTATTCAAAAGAGATGTTATTACAATATCTTTAGCTCCGAAAGACGAACAATACTCTTATTATTTCTATTGGTAAATTATTTACTATCACTTATCAAATGTTTTGGTCTTTCTTGTGACTATGTGATCAATTGCCAAGCTACATTGCAGGCTATGCAGACTGCTCTTGGAAACTCAAAAGATTATTCACTTAAGTGGTATCTTATATTTGTCAATAAACTGAACCCTGATACAGTTCTCTTGCAACAATCACCTTTGGTTCTTCCAAAAGCTTTAAAGGTTCTATGCTTAAACACTTTTATAAGGACATTTGATTGTTGGCAAAATAGAGAAGTTAATGTGAAGTTTTCTCAAACGAACCGGGTTGTTAGATTAGGAAGTTTCAATTATTTTCATTTTTCCGATCTTATATTTCCGATATATTTCCGATCTCGTGTTCGTTTTTGGTATTAAGTTCCGAGTCATTTGTTTTATGTTTAGCATCAAGTTGGTTTTTCCTCCTCTCTAAAATGTTGTGTCTCCCGTGATTCATGTTTGAATTGAAATTTCTATTTCTTTACAGATGGGCGTTGCTGCTGTTGTGCACCTTTATGTCTTCCCTGCAGTACCTTACAAAAAAGGAGAGAGGTGTGTTCGCAATGCAGCGGTGATGGCTGACTATGCGGCACTAGGGACACCTCCTAATCCTGCAGAGGTTCGTGACTGTGAGCGCTCAACTAGAATGCGGTTTGGTCGTCAAGATGAGAAAGATAAGAAACCTATGAAGTTTAAACATAGTGTTTGTGACGTAGTTCTTGGAAGTGGTGAAATTGTGAGATATGGCACTCTACTTCAGACATTTTAATTTTCGCTTCCATCTTTGTGTAAACTCATCTGTGTTGTTTTGCTGTCTTTCTGTTTCAGATTGTTGTTGACAGACTTGACAGTTCAAATATTGGAGATCCTCGACTATTTTAGGATTGGTGTCGTGATGTGTTTGGGAGTAACGACGGGTGCTTTTATCCTCACTTTTTTGCGGTACATACCCTTTTAACTTCGATGTAGAGAGAATGAAATAAATGAACTATTTAGTTAGTGTTTTGAGGTTTTAATATGGACTCGGCTTTGTATTGATTTCTTCTTTTCAGCTATAATATCTCTGTCCATAGGGTTGCAATGCCATTTTTCAGAATCAATGCCTAGAAATGCTAAATTCAAGCACAGACTTGTGTTCTTAGTTGATGGAATTCGTTAAAGTGAAAGGAGTAATTGGAAAGGGTTTGGATGGGCAATTTATTGTTGAATCTGAAACTAAAATTCATGGACTCAAGCGGCATTGACTTCCCTTAGTTGCATTTACCGTATAATTTATGATCTAATTATACAGCTGGTTCGTCTGTGTCTGCCTTCGTACGGCTATCCGTTCTGGTCCTTTCATTTTTGTTGAATGATGTCATTATTGCTTAGTAAAATATTATTTTTTGATTCTAAGTAAAATGAAAAAATGATTCATTTATAGTAATTTATTTATATATTATAAAAAAAAATTGATGATAATGTTCCTATATTTTTAAGATTTGGTTCCAGGTGCTGCCGAGGCATCTGTCAAACATCTACCACCCTCTGCCCTTGGTGATGCTAGCAACTTTGGTGCAATGGGTTTGTTAGCTAAAAGTAAGGGAGTACCAATGGAGGCACTTTTTAAGCAGGTTCAGGACGGAATTCCTTGGTTTAGGTCTCTGCTACTATCCATTTTCTGCAATTTTAGTTATTGGAGAGTCTTTTTGTGTCATTAATTTTGATTTTATGTTGGGTGAATTTCAGTGTTGCTCCAATGATGGACTGGACGAACAATCACTATAGGACTTTAGAGCGTCTCATATCAAAGCATGCTTGGTTGTATACCAAGATGCTTGCAGCTGAAACAATTGTTCATCAAAAGGATAATCTCGTAAGTTTAAATGTATAAGTTAGTTGGTGTGAGTGACTATAATCATGGTTTTTTGTGGAAAGATATATTGTTTTTTCAATATTTATGTTTAGAACTCAATTGTTTGTATCATAGTAATGAGGATATATTGTTTCAGTGTGTGAACTAGACCAGAATTGACCCAATGCTATTCAAACTATTTATTCGTTTTTTGTGTGTTCTGCTCAGGACAGATTCTTGGCATATTCTCCGAAACAACATCTCATTGTGCTTCAAATTGCAGGGAGCAGTGTAGAAAGTTTGGCAAAATGATCTTTGTTACAAGATAATACCTGAGATAATATAAACTTATTATAAAAGTTTGTTGCATCCATAACTGTATGCCATCAAACTTGGTACATGTGCTATCAGCATGTCATGTTCAACATGTTTTTGTTAATGGATAACTTTCAGGTCAGTATCATTTGAGGAGTGTTTTCTTTCTATGCCATTGGCAAATTGTATGGAAAAGATATTTATATACAAGTGGCAAAAGAAATGAAATGATTCCTTTATTTTTCAATTGAGTATATTGATTCTCTGCCTTCGAGACTCTCCGATCTGCATTCACTTACTAACTGCATTAGTAGGGAGAGAGAAAAAAAAAGAGTAGGTTTTGGCATTGAACAACAGTGTTGTGTAAGTCAAAATTAAGAGGTTTAACAAAAATCGGGAGAGTATTAGAAGTGGCCTACGCTGATAGAGTAAGAATTATAATTAATTAGAAGTAGAATTTATATTATTGTCATTTAATTTCTAATGTTTTTTAGAATGTTCTTAGGATCTTAAAATATTATTGAGGTGAGCTTTAGAAAGAAAAGAAATTTACCTTGAAGGAGGGAATGAAAGCAGGGGGCCTCCCTGCTCATACCTCTTCATCTGGTAGCTCAGAGTACGAGTACAATGCTGATATGTAAAAGTTCAGAAAGGAGGTGTTTAATAACATCTAGGATTATAGCACCAGCAGCTTCTCCAGCGGCAAAGCACCAAAGCCTAATCCATAATAATTACTTAAAGGTGTTGTTGATCTTACACATGGAAGGAATTAGAGGGGACGAAAATGTGAAAGGGATTTCTTTGTTTAATATGAATCACTTCATTGTCATGGGAAGTAATAGCATCTCATTTTGTGGAGAATCTGAGCTTGAGGCTCTATTTTTGGGTGTGTTGTTTAAGGCATAATTTTAAGTCAATGTTGCATATATTTCTTTAATTTGTTCAGTGTTTCTTATATTATGTAATGTAATATGATTATTTTGTGTGCTCGAATATACGTAGGCATATCTTGGAATGGAGTGTATAAATATGCTTTTAGTAATATATTATAATTTAGTGATAGTGCCAATTTTATTTTATTTTAGACATATGCAGCACTCTAATCCATCTATTATATATAGTTTTTAGCAATTTCTGTTTATACTCTTATATAATATGGGGCAACTCTTAAAATCTCAAAATACTTTTTTATTGTATTTCATTTATTAATAAGAATCAAAATATTTTTAAATTAATGATTTTTTTCTTATTATTTTTGAATATTTAAATTAATTAAATTCAAATCTTTTCATTATTTTTTATTCTACTGTTTTTGAATTATGCTAGTATTAAACTATATGGTTAATGATTATAAAATTTATTTTAATAATCATTAATTGATGATAATATCAAATCTTTTCAATTCTATCGTTATATAATCTTGTGTTTGCATTATATAATTTTTCATTATATTACTTTATGATAGTTAATAAATATCAATTAATTTTATTGTCATTTAATTTTTTATTATTCACTATTGATTTTAATAGTAAATATTTTAAGGTTAATAAAATTGATTTAACCAACATTTTGATTTAAGTAAATAATTTTATGACTAATATTTTTTAATATAATTTTTTTTAACCTGTGCCTCGCATGAAAAAATTATAATCCTAAAGAGAATATGAAATAATAACGGGGACACAAAGTTAGTGATCAATATTAACGGCAACACAAAGTTACTGATCAATATTAATGAGGACACAAAGCTACTGATCAAAATATTGAATATTAACGGGAACATGAAATTATTGATCAATATATTGAATATTAACGGGAACACAAAGTTACTAATCAATATTAATGGAAATATGAAGTTACTGAATAATTGATTAGAATATGAATATTAACCGGAATATGAAGTTACTGCTAAATTTTGTTTGTTAAATAATTTTGTTTATCTTTTATTTCATTTTTATTATATCTTAAATTGTTGGTCAAAATATTAAATAATAATGGAAATATGAAATTACTGATCAAAATATTGAATATTTATGGGAAAATAAAGTTACTGATCAAAATATTGACTAGTAATAGAACAACTTTAATGTTGGTTTAAATATTTTAAATAATAATTCAAAAACAAAAATAATATTTATATAAAATAAATATATATGGTTGAGTCAAATATTTTTATATATTGAAAAAATTATAGACACCGATTTATTATCTCTTTTAAAAAAATCATTTTGTTTTTATTATATTTTGAAAACAAATGCGCGTACTATACCAGTACCTGTGCGAACGCACGGGTATCCCACTAGTTATTATTATCTTTTTATCATTTGTTGGCAGGATTTTATTTCAAAAAAAATATTTTCAAAAACCTTAAAAAGAAGGTTCGTCTATTGGCCAAGGGGATATATCATCCCTATGAGTTTTGTGACGACTTCGCCTAGAGTATGTGGAATTCCAAAAAAGAAACATGTCTCAAGAGGTATCCTCTTGGGGTGTAGGACTTTGGAATGAAACCTATGACTTTTTGTATAACCCTAAGCCAAAACTTCATGGTGAGACCTTGTACGACCTTTGAGATGAAAGTTTTAGTCTACAATGAGGCTTCGCTTAAGGGACGCCCTTGTGCATTTCCCTCTAGTGTTGTCTATAATACCCTTAAGGAAAGCACCTTATGGGGAGGTAGAATATCCGTAGGCCGAAATTAGGAACCTACCAACTAAGGATGCCTTTCATAAATCCCGTCACTATGTTGCATCATCATGCATTCATACATCTTGCATTGCAAATATTCATTATTTTGCATTTTTTAATTGTCTTATTCACAAGATAAAAAAATAATAATAAAGGGTTTTTTGGTGAGTATCTTAAAAATGGATGTCAAAGGGAAATAACTTGTCCGTGTTAGTGCCCTCAAGCCAGATGGGACGAAGATCAAAAATATCAAAGGGAAATCGTTTGAAAAAGCTTCGAAGATGTTTGCTCGCCGCTATGGGGATACCCATGAATTGGCAAAAGTGGATGTATAATTGGATGCTACATCTGCCTTGGTTCAGTTTTACGATCCTTCATTAAGGTGTTTCACCTTTCAAGACTTCCAGCTAGCGTCGACTTTGGAAGAATTTGATAGTTCTTAAATTTTTCTAAGGAAAAAGCTTATGTGGAAATTGGACAAACTATTAACATTAAGGATTTAGCAAAGGGTTTAGGAATATCTTATCCTGAGTTTTCACTTAATTACAAAAAATAAGGTGATGTACAAGGGATTAAAAGACAATATTTGAAGGCTAAAGCCCTATCTTTTTCTAATAAGAAATAATTGGAATCTTGTGTTGATTTTTTGGGACTGCTCGTCTTTGGTGTAATTATGTTTGTGGACTTTGGACTATATTGACCCTATAGCTATTAGTGTATTTTGGGGCACGAAAGCTTTGAATATGGACTCAACTCATGCTCTACTTGCCGATATTTACTATTCTCTTCACACTCGTTATGAAAAGGGGAGGGGTACGTTGAACTGTTGTATCCCGCTCTTATATTCTTGGTTTATGACTCATCTTTATAAAGAGGACTACATGATCAAAACTCATACATGATTTGAGTGGCCTAAAAAATTAAGGTCTTTGTTGTACCCCAAAATTTTCCCTCTTATTTTTTTCAAAACATTCTTTCAAGGCTCTTCAAGTAGTCAAGACACTCAAGGATTGACTAATCAAGATGCTCCTCCTAAGTCAAAGGCCTACAACTAGGGTTTAGACTTTATCAAGTAAATTTTGTTTGAAAAGGTCTCAAGTGACTTCCATGGTTCTTCATAGGTCCTTAGCAAGGTTCATGTCAACTTTCAAGCCCTACATCACAAATTTGCTCAGTCAATAGCTCAACTGCTTAAAAATCAACTATATTGGTCAAAAAGTCAATTGTAGTCAACATACAGTCAACCTTCAAGATTTTTGGTCAACATCAATATTTTAAAGTGATATTCATCATTTGATCAAGGGTTGATCATGATTCCACAAGGAAAGCCCTCAGATCATCAAAAGTCAAGAATTGCCAAATTATGGTTTCCTTAGGAGAAGTCAACTGAACTTTGACCAGACATAACTTTCACATGCTTCATCAACTTTTCCCCAACTAAATCCCATTTTTAAGAAAATTTAATTCTCTACAACTTTGCTTTTATTCTCAAGTCCAAAAAATGCTTCATTTGGAATATATGATCTCATACATTATAGGTCATTTTCAAATGTCAATAAAAGACACTTTTTCTCAAGGAAAATTACATCAAGATAATGTCTTCAAAAGAAAAAATGGTCAACATAGAGATTGTAGAGGACATCTTAAGATTTCCAAAAAGTCAAAGATCATCTTCAAAGATGAAAATTGAGCAAATTATGAGGTGCACAAGTTGGGAAATTTTCAAGAAATGCATGAAATCTCAATTGAGCAATTTGTGATTTTTTCTTATTGGGCTTAATCTTTTGGACTTTAAACATGTCCGACCTTGAAAAAGACACATAAACCCACTCTTACCTTGCTTTTCATTTTCTATTTATTTTATTTATATTTATTTTGTTTTTATTCAAATAAATACAAAATAAATTACATAAATTACATAAAATAACAAATAAGAGATTATGACATACGGGCTAGTTTGTTGGGTCAACTTTGGGCCTAAGAATTCGTGCAAACATGTCTAGATTCATGCAAGAATAGAAATGGCAAGGAAATAGCAAACTTGGAAACAAGTTAATATGTTTGATATTATTTTGAAAAATTCCTTAATGCATTGATTCTTTCCATATATTTCCACCCTCACTCACTCCTCTATATATACATAGCATTGCAAGCAAGAAAACACACGCAGAGGCTGCCTAACAAAAAGCTACAAAAATTGCAAGAAATTCTCAAAGTTGCCCAAACTCATAAAATACGATCCAGCCATATCCAGACCAAATCACTCATTACAATTCATTCCTGAAGCATTCAAGGGTAAGAACAGACAAAATTCCATGGTCGTTGGTTCTTGAAATCGGCACCCTTATTTGCTTCGATTTACTTTTTTTTTCAAATATTTGTATTTCCATTTTCATGCATGATTAACGTCTTTTGATTTCCCAAACAAGTTTCTGCATTTATATAGAATAGGTCTGGGCAAAGAACTGGATTTCTAACGTGGGAATGGATTGTTTCCATGGCTAGGGAAATTTATATCATTCTGTTTGTATCTCTGTGTACAGGCCATTTCAGGATGAATGAACACCACCATTGAATTCACAATGTCTGAATTAGGTGGATATGCCCTTTCATTTGCTTCATTTCATCACGTTTGCAGGATCGGAAAATTCCCATGCCGGAGAAGACGGTGGAAACCATTGGGCTGGGTGGCTTGAATGACTTGACTCAGGTCAAGGGCTTGCGTGGCCAAATGCGTATTCCTGATTCGTTCATTCAAATACAAGGCCCCCACCTGGGTGCATGTTATTTTATTTAAATAATTTTTAAATTGTTTTTATAATATAGTGTTATGATTTGATTATACTAACGAATGAGAAAGCTGGCCCAGTGGTAACACGTGCACCCATAAAGCTTTCACCTTACAGGTCCTGGGCAAGCTGGCCCAGTGTAATAGCGTAAATTCAAATTTCCGCACTTTATTTTCTGTACATACATATATATATATATATATATATATATATATATATATATATATATATATATATATATATATATATATATATATATATATATATATATATATATATATATATATATATATATATATATATATATTTCTAGATGAATGCTTAATAGGATTGCATGATAAGATCTTAAAACAAACGGTAGAAAAACCTAAATGTTTAAAGATAAATAACTGAAACATAATAGCACACACGCACCTATAAGGTACCTCC